TCTCCTGCAGCGCCTGCGGGCTCAGAGAAAGCCCCTGTGAACTGGCAGCCGCCGAGCTTCCGCCCTTCCCCGTGGCAGTAGCCCCTGGCTGCATGGTCGCGTAGACCTCGCCTGCATCTGTTTCGGCAGGCATCACTCGCCGTGGATCCCACGCCGCTCAGCGTACAGAGCAGAGCCGGCCCGGGGCTCGCAAGCGGGTAGGCCGCAGCCGCTACAGCTGCGCGCTCCCGCCCATGGCCCCGGGCCCGACCCCGCTCCGCTACCAACTGTGGCAGCAGCAGGAGCAAACGAATGTTTTGCCTTGAGCCACAGGTACGGACACAAGCGCACTCTGTCAAAGATCCCCTGGATGAAACATCAAGCTAAACCTATTCATGAAAATGTGGACCCTTGTCACAGCTGCCACCCGCCGTCCTTGCTGAGCAGCGCAGCCTCATGGCACCACCAGGCCCGGGGCCAGGACGGACCAGGCGTGTCGCTTGCTGACTCCCCTGCGGTGGGCCGTATGGTCCTGGAGCGTAGAATGCTCAACAATTGCGCGGGTGGAATGCAAGTGGTTCAACAAAATGCGGATTCCGCAGTAGCGCCGCGCACATTCGTCTCACAAGCCTGCAGCAATTTCACGGACGGAGAACCGCTCCTTTTCAACACTGGGCTCTCGCTTCAAATCTCTCCGGCATGGCCACCCGATAGTTAAAGACTGTGCAGCGGTCGCAGGGCTAGAGGGCGGCTCCTTGCCAAAACAGTGCTCTCGAATGGGACTTAGCAGTATTCGATTCTGTGGAGAATGCGCAGCAGTGGCGCGGACGGAGGGCAACTCTTTTTTTCCCTCTAACATGCTTGACACGTCTTCGAAGTTTGAATGTCAGCAAGTTGCATACGTGATGCAAGGCCGCTCCTCTTCAAAACTGGCTTCTGCCTGCATGACATGACAAGCGCATGGGGCGCTAGTCCTTCAAGCAGGCGCCCCCCCTCGTATTGAAATGGGATACGTACTTGTAGGGACTTGTGACGAGGAGGCTTGGGACTTCAGGGTGTGCTGCATAACCGATTAGATTAAGTATGTGCACGCACATATCGGTATGTACTTGTATGCCTGTATGTACGTTCCCCAATCAGAGCTTGCCTCTGTAGGGGTCCTAGCGGATTCATATGGTTAGGTTAGGTTTGCCGCCCATTTTCGCCGCACGCCTGGGTGCCCGGGTGCCCGGGGGTGCCTGGGGCCCGGGTGCACGGGGGGTGCCCGGGGCTGCCCTATAGCCCTAAGCCCTATAGCCCTATAGCCCAATAGCCCAATAGCCCTGCAACTCTATAGCCCTATAGCCCTGAAGCTCAAT